ACTTAATAGCACGAACAAGCCCCAGGTTCAATCTTAGCAATAGGAAAAAAACACAGATATTGTCAAGGTGCAAAAAAAAAAAAAAAAGGAGAAGAGGAAGACAAGGCCCAACAATAAGCCATCTAGCAAAGACCTTTAAATAAATGCTAATGAAGAATATACCATGCTATCACTAATCAGAAGCTAGGCTAGCAGTATCAGCCAGCTTCAAGTAATGAAAGTGATCAGAGATAAGGGAAGTATTGCACAGTGATTCTGTGGACAGAGAGGCTTCCTGGGTTATGATAATTGAGCTGGGACCCAGTGAAGCAGGTATTCCAGATCTCATCAAGTATGAAGCAGGAAGGACAGGACAAAGACCTGAGGTAGTCTGAGCTTCAGGAGTGACTACAGGAAACATCCTATGTGACCAGCATCAGAGAAGTGGGCTGGCAGGCCGTGCATGCAGAGCCCCTTGGGTCACAGTGGAGTCTGTACCACTATTTTGACTTTGATGACCTTGAGAAAAGCAGCAAGCCACTCCAGTCTTCATCATTTCTCTGTAAAGTGGGGATAGAGAAGAGTTGGGAGACATCCACTCAGATGTTCCTGAGTTTTTAAAACTCCTGGTCTGTGATTAATACAATCTCTTAATGAATTAAAACAGACATTCATTATGTATGTAGGACAAATTAAGTGGTCAGCTTTTTTTATAAGACATTCATTGAGGTGCCATGTTGCTTCCCAACAGGACTTGCTCATTACTTGAAAATTATTTACTGTGTCTACCCCAGGCTCTGTGAAATAGTTTAAATCTGTTTTCTCTCGTCTTTCAGGAAACTAGCTCAAATTCAGCAAGCCATTTTCTTAGCAGCGCAGTCCTTAGAGTGTCCCCTAAAGAGAGCTGTATTCTCTTGAAGACATCCCTGTGTCCCCTTGCCACATCTTGCCCTGAACCACATGTGCAAAGTGCTGCAAATATATTATGTTGCACTTTCCACAAAAATTTTTCCCTAAACCGACAAATTGTCTTCTAATACTACCTTTTCAATTGACTGTCTCTCACTTCAGTATCTCAGGTACAGATACAGAAGTGCAGCTGCTCCCTTCCAATTCATAATTCCTGGGAGATTGTAGACGTTCCCCAAGCGGAAAGCTGTGACCAGACATTGTGTCGTAGCTCTCAGGAAGGTGCTTATAGGAGGTGTGTTCTGGCTGTACCAGCAAGTCCTGGATGTCCCCTACCCTTGGGCATCCCTAGAGCAGGACCAGGCCCTGGTCTGCATGGCCTCTGGTTGCCTAGAAGTTACTTCACCCTTTTGACCTCTCTTATTGAAGCTTCTTTATTCTCCAAATGGTATGTGATCCTTTCATCATTGTTTATAAGTACCTTTTGTTTTAGGTTTCCGTAGAGGATTGGTGAAAGATGTGGGAAAACGTGTTATTTGTTGTTCTAATCAACCCCCTCAAAGCTCTGCTGAAGTCCAGCTGAAGCATTCTCCTTTAGAGCAGCTGGAGCCTCTTGGGGATTGAGGGGGGAGTTATTCCTGACCAAGCATTTATGGGGAAAGCTGTTTCGATCTGTCAAGATCTGACAACTCTCCACGTGCTCTTTCCCACACATGCAGACGCTCTTAATAACCCCTCTACTTAACCTCTACATCTAAAGTTATTTCCGAATTCGCGGTTGCGGTGATCCTTCCCGTACACTTACTGCTTCATAGCGGTTGTGCTCATTATGGCAATTGCTTTTGACCTCTCAGATCGTTTCTCTTCCCCCATCATTCTGTGCTGTAAGCAGGTATTCTCTAGTATAAAAGAATGTGTTCTCTCTACCTGACTTTGCCATTTTGGTCTCTGGCCACCTAACTTTCAAGGATCATCTAAAAAATACATCTGTAGCCTCTGTATGTAGATGCATAATAATGAAGGACTTTTCATATGTGTGTGCTTCAGAGTATTCATCCTATAGCCACACCAAAGACAAATATGAGATGTTCAGAAGAAACTCGAATCCAAAACCTTTATATTACATTACTGTCTTCTCTTATGATAGAGTCAGTGCCAAAAAGCCAGACATAAAAATCATGGCCATATCTTTGTTATGAGTGCAATACCTGCAGCATTGGGGTGTATAACTGGCCGATTAGGGAAGAAGACAGTTTTCAGCATGGACTGGATCTCAGTAAACCCATGCATAGCAATAGTCTGATTCTAAAAGCTCACGGTTGTCTGTGAAGCATTTGCCAGCTCCAGTTGAAAGCATCAAAATGTTCCAGCTGAGTCCTTGGGGGATTAGTTCTTATGTATCAAATGGAGATTTGTCCCAAATATTGTCGTCACCCTTGCAGCTAGTTAAACCCTTAGGCTGATGTACTTGACAGTGATAGCAGGTGCCATGAACTTCGAGATCACTACTTCTCAGCAAAACGCTGCCTTTGTGTTCACAGTTGGCCAATAAGAAAGGTTGGATGTGAAAATGTTCTGCTTTGCACCCTAGCCTGATGGGTATAAATTAGCTTGGGCTGTAATTTCTAGGCATGTGCTTCCTCTCAGCCAGAGCTGTGTATCATTTAGTCGCGGCCGACATGGCAGGAGCTCCAAAGCTATCTTCCATCTTGCAGCTAGCTGGTAAGGAAAGCCAGTTTGTTAACAGTCATAGAAAATCTTAATACCTAGACTTTGGTCATTATACTAGGATAAGACACTCGGGAGTTGTTCAGATTTAGATAGATGAAACATTGGAATCCAGGTTCTGATCAGAACTTTGGATGTAGCCTTTCATTAACTTTATCTTGAGTATGGGACCAGGAGGTGGTGCCCCGGAGCTCTTTGTTCCCTGTCCCCACTGTTTTCCTAGGGTAGGGCCGCTCATCCAGACCCTCCTTTACTGTCTGTCGCAGTGCACCGTGATCCCAGAGCCCAATGTAGCCAGTAGCCATCGAAGAGAACGGGAGTACTACTGCATTAACTTCTCCAAAGAAATCAAACATCAGAAGAACAGGAGAACAAGCGTAAAGTGGAAGGCCATGCCTTAGGCCTAGACTTCAGTTTTCTGATTACAAAAGAATTACCACCCTCTTGGGGGTCACTGGTTCCTGGGATATGCCACATCTCACAAGTCAACATCACCAACTCCAGAGTCTTAGGTCCCAAGTAGATGTGACTCCTCCCTTTGGCTCCATAGGGCCTGTATGAACTGCTCTAGTATCTTATCTCTTATGCCACAGCTTACAACATGCTTTCCTACAACTAAAGTAAGCCCCTGCCCCATTCTTCCTAAGGAATGTCTACTTCCCTTAGCCTCCGTCATCTTTGTGTAACTGTTCAGGCTAAACCAGACACTGCACTGAGTCCTTGAATGAATGAGTCTATAAGAGGAAGTGATGGTGATGTAGAGACTTCTTGTCAGATATAGCAGAAAAGATCATCTCATGTACTTAGATTACTTCTCTGAAGGTTTTGTGATTTTTTTCTCTGTAAAACCTATAAGACCTCTGTAGATCATATTTTGTGATGTAATAAAATAATGATAATAATTATGTATCATTTTATTTTCTTATCAGTTGTTGCTGAGAAAAGTAGGTTATGTGAGTCCATTCTATATCTGTTGATGTTTTGATCATTTCCCACAGACTTTTTATTATAATTATATAATAATATAACAACTAAAATAGTAACAGTTTTGGTTATTTCCTTCCAACTCATAATATCCACATATTCGCCCCTTTCTTTCTCTCCTGTCCTGGCAAATTCACTAAGGAAAGTGCTCTTCTCATTGACTCTCACATACCACTTCCCAGTGTTTCACTACTGCCATAGTTTAGTATATGTTAGTGCAAACTGTTTTTGGTTTTTGGTTTAGGGGGCTGTGAAGGGGTTTGTCCTTCTACACAAAACAATAAACAGGACAGAATATACTAGCAGCAGGCCGCAAGAGTGAAGATACTCAAATGTCCAACAATACTTTTAATGAAGTTCCTTTTTATTTAATAGCTAAGAAATTTTTATGAATAGAATTTGAATTTAATGAAACACTTATTTGTTTGTTTGGTTTGGTTTTTTGAGTCAGGGTTTATCTGTGTAGGCTTGGAGCCTATCCTGGAACTCACTCTGTAGATCGGGCTGACCTCGAACTCACAGAGATCCGCCTGCCTCTGCCTCCTAAGTGCTGGGATTAAAGAAGTGGGCCATCACTGCCTGCCATGAAACACTTATTTTAAAGCTATTTTCTGAAATGATCATCTTACTTTTCACATTTAAATGATGTTGTTTTCCACTTCCCTAAAACCTTCTAGAAGGTTTTTGACTTCCTTAGAGTAGAAATTGAGAATTATTACAATTTTCTACAAAGTTCTCCCTGTTTCCTGCCCCACTTCTCTCCCTTTTGGTTTTCCTTCTACAATTTGGCTCTGGCAACTGTGACTCTCCTCCTTTGCTTAAACACACTAGTCCTATTCCTAATACAAGCTAGACACCTGCTGTTCTTCATGGAATATTCTTCCATCCATTGTCCTCATAGATCCTGGTTCGTTCTTCCAACTCCTACAGACTTTTAATGAAACATTTCCATTAAAGCCTTCCCTCTCATTGTGATGTAATTGGAGATACACATCCACCCAAAAGCCCTTTGCTCTTCTCTGAATCATCATCTATTTTACATATCATATACGGTATGTGTTTAACTGTTTGTTTTCTGAAATCTGTAATAAACTTTGAGTTAGCTTATAGCAGAGATTTTTATGTGTGTGTTCTTCACAAAGGTCTATCATATAATATTGTGAAAAATCAAGAGAAATTGTACGCGTATATAAGAGTTACTAGCCAGCTCCAGTCCCAAATCTCACTGAGCCAACAACCTCCATGTTAATGAGTAGAATTAATGAAATTCTAATAGAGGGGAAAGGAAGAGAAAAGAAAGACATCCACGAACACTGTGGTTTGCCCACATGGTGGAAATGTATCTAGCAAAATAGAGCCAAGCCTGGTTCTGAACATAGTTTTTCTGTTATGAATTCCAGGTTCCGTTCTTTGGGCCTCTGTTCGACGGAGCCATCGTGAGTGGGAAGCTGCTGCCAAGCCTTATCTGTGCCACTTGCATCAATGCCAGCAGAGCGGTGAAGTGCCTCATCCCACTCTATCAGAGCTTGTATCTTTTTGCTGTGAATATGTAACTTATTAACCCTCCCCAGGGTGAGATTCCTGGAGAGCTTTCAGGAGAGGTAAGTGGGCTTCAGGCCCAGGCTGTGCTGCTGTTTGTTGATCTCTATGAAGTACAATGATATGGGGCTGCATTGAACATAGTTTGTTTCCCTAGTTTGTTCAGGAGTCTTTGTCTGAGAGGCCGTGACTGTCATGCTCAAGGTCATGGCTTCTGGGACTTTTCCCAGATTCAGTCTCTTCTTTTTCGAGTCAAAGTCCACTGTGCAGAAAGAGGAATATGTAGCAAACCACTGTAATTCTCATTCAGAGCACCAGAAAGCAAAAGCAAATGAAGTAACTAATAAATCAGAAACTGTACACAGCACCTGAGAAATGCAGAGAGTTCTGATGGATGAAGGAAGGAGAAATTACACCTGGCAGAAGAGAGAGGGAAGGGAGTCCTTGAATCAAGTTGTATCTGGATCCATCACTAAGAGTGGAAAGAAAATTTTTTACAATTTTCTCCAATCATTAATATTTCCTCTTTTAATTTCTGTTCTCATCTCTGAAAACAGGAGAAATTTCATGTTTCTAATTTTTCTTTCAAGCAATAATTGATATATATAGCTCCTAAATCCACATGTGATCTCCAACTATAAGAAAAGAAAAAGATTAAGATGAATGACTTCATAAAACCACTACAAAAACCATCTAACTTCCTAACAAAACTTAGAATTTCTTTGTTTCTAATTGGTATCAACAATGATTAAAAACACATTCTATTTGACCTCTCCATAGACTTCTCCCAGCCTGATTGTAAGTGACGTATTATTAGTGGGTAGCGGGCGAGTGAGAAATTACATGTAAAGAGATACAGTTTGTGACATACCTTTCATTAAAATATTGGTCATTCAGTTGAATAATATCCTGCCTTTAGATTTTAAAAAGTACATATGCCATGTGGCAACTTAAAATTATCATAGAAATTAGTAGTAGAAAAGAGCTATTAGGTCCCATCTGGTCCCTCCCCTGGGGCCAGGCTGCATTATTCCCTCCAGCACACACTCATGCTTTGTCCTGACTGGTGGGGAGTGTTTGGAAGCAGCACTCTCTGCAGAGACTTCCAGAACACCCCAGATGTAACCTATAGCTGCTGCCATTTCCACCTCCAGCATGGAGTTTATATTTCACATAAACTGCAGCTTACAGGACCTTCTTGGCAAAAATGAGAAAGACCTGTCCACCAACTGGTCTGTCAGTTGGTATATGACCTGGGATGAGCTAGACACCTGTCAGTCAAGGATACTAGGCTGAGGCACAGAAGTCCTTTGACAACAAGAACACCCTATTTTGTAGAAGTCCACTTTGATGTTTTCTAATCTTGTCACACCCTCTCCCCTTATCAAACAAATCACAAAACAAATGTTTTGTCATTTTGCTGAACATTAGCTATGTGCTTTTGAGCAGTCAGATTTAGGGAAAACAGTATTTTTAAGGGTTGAAAAGATAATGATCAGTATCTCCTTAAAAACCTCAAGGAAATCACATCATGAGTGTAGGTGCCAGTACTCAAAAATAGCTCATAAAATAGACGATTTGATATCTTAGAGGACAATTTAGTATAAAGAGGAAAAATAATAACAAAACCTATTATATTGATCATCATAAAGTTTTAAATATTTTTCTCTTAATTAATTTGTTAGTCAAATAAATATCTAAAACAGTTAATCAAATGATTTACACAAATTTGTATACAATTGTCATGTGAGAAAAAATTTTTGATCATGTAGCTATTTCTGTCTGCAGAACTGCTAATACTGTAGTCAGAAATAAGGAATATAATAAAAATGAGGAAATGGGAAAGAGAAAAGGGAGATTTTTGTACTTTAAACATCCTCACTAAGTTTTACAGCTGTTTGTGTGAGCTTGTGCCAGCTGCTCCTGTAAGGTTCACTAGAACATTGAAGTCCTCAGTGCACTTTGGGGAGCATCTGACCTGCTCCAGTGTCATAGCCGTTGTCTGGAATTTGCTGCTTCATTGACATAGTTTTATATTTGAATTTTCAAAACCACTGACTATTCTAACCAGTCCCAATTATGAGTGCTAATTGCATGCCTTCATTTACCAAACACACAGTTCCTGTGGCCTGTCTGCCAACTCCAGTGCTGGAAGCTAGGGCCACTGCAGCATAGCAGGGCTCTAGGAGCCCAGTCCTTGTTGACACGTTTTAGAGACCTAGATGACACCTAAAGAACGCACAGGCTAATCAGTCCCTTATTTTCTGAGAGCAAGAGAGACTGAGAGTTGGGGTGAACAAGAGTCAGGATAAGGGGGCCCTCTCCAAGGAGAACATACTTCAGCAGAGACTGGAGAATGAGAGGAGCACAGGTGACACTCAGCAGAGGACCCAAGATTCAGTGCTCTGGGAGGTATATATATTACATGACTCCTGTATATGTTCAGGTCCACGAGGGTGCCTGCGATGGATGGACCCAAGAGTCAGCTGTGATAGCAATGGCATTCTAGGTGACCCCCAAAGAAGCTGCTCAGAGTTCCAGGACACATGTACCTCAGGATTCTCATCTTAGAACAGCATGCTAGAGGGTTCGTCCAGGGCTGCCCAGTAGACAGTGGATAGGCAAGAGGTGTAGGTGCCACTATACCCTACAAGCCCTGTGCAGACCCCTAAGGGGTAAGGTCATCAGCAGTGCCCTGGATGTATCTTGATCCTGTGCTCGTGACTTAACTTGACCAGTGGGGAACAAGCATCTGGTACTCCTTTTCAAGAGAGGGAGAAAGTGCCTAGAAAGGTCCTGAAGTATAAAGCACTCTCTGTTTTTTCACTGCCTTCCAATGTTTGCTACTTACCATCACTCAAAGTAAAGGAGTGTTAAATTTTAAATTATTTGCTTTGATTTTTATCATTCTAAATTATAGAGTACTAATTTGATAATAAATCTATAAGCTTTCAACTCATCAGCTGACATCAATAGCATTCTGCAATTCATATGCCATAGCTCATGTGTGCATATGTTTTGTTCTTCCTGTGTGTGTATTCCACCATTAGTTTGCTGCTGAGCAAGGAAGAACCGAGAGGCAGGGAAACCTGGGTCACCCTGTAATCCCTCACCTTCTGTGGCAGTTTGCAGAGCAAATGATTGACTACTACAAGGGAGTCGCACAGCTTGGAAAGGGTTTGATAGGGTTCTCTGGTTACTTGTGGCTCTGTGGCCACTCACTGCTGCTTGCTTTCCACAGTCAAAGCAAGTTCTGCTTTGGCAGAAAAGTGTGACCTCTCAGCTTTTATGATATCTTAGTCATTGAGGAAAGGGTTCTCATTTCCAGCTGCTCAAGCCAAGTGGCCCTGAAGCCCTGAAATCTCCTGTGCATGTTGAGGAACTCTGGCTCTAAATGTATGGCATTGGAAGGGGTGTGTGTTGTGTGTGTTTTGTTGTTGTTTCCCCTAAAGTCAGGCAGTATATATATCCCTTAGCACAGCTGTGTTGGTGTGAACCCAGACTCATTAAGGAAGGAAGCAATTTGTGTCTGCTGCCATAGAAAAAAACTTCACTTAAAGACCAAATAGCTGGAAGAATTACAGCTACCTGTTCCCAAGATGCAAGGCCAGAGTTGAATAATACGAATTTCCTTGTCAGCCAGGCTTTTTTACATAACTATCCTGAGACTTTGTTTTGCTTCTAATACGTAGATTACAGTTGTGAAATAACTACTAAGTTGTGACAAGATACTAATTTCTTCTCAGTGTCACCCCCCTCTCCAGGTGTCAGAGTGACCATTTAGTTAAGACCTTTGTAAATCCTTGAGGTGGGAGCACTTGCTTCTTTTGTGTAGTGACCACACACTGACCCATGACAACCAAAGCAGAGAGACAGTGAAATGACTTAGTTGTTTCTATCTCCCCATTCTCTCCCTGGTTGATTGATGTTTTACTTCCTTAGAATAGATTTGATTGGGATCCAGTTTTATGTAAATTTTAACTAATAGTAGAAATGTGGACAGTTAAGGGTCAATTTGACTCTGGAATGTTTAGAAAAAATGCACTTCCGATTAATTGGGGATTGGAAGCACTGCCCAAACAAATTTGTCTTTTGTTTCTCTTTTTAACAGTAAATCTAGCTTAAGGTCAATATCAAAGGAGTTCTTGTGTGAGGTTCTCTTGGATAACTGATCAAACAGTTGGAACTGCGTGGCAGAGGCACAAAGAAGACTGAAAAAAATCATTGTCTCCCATAATTAAAAAAAAAAAAATGTGAACACAGTAGGGCCGTGTGTAGAAAGCACCCTGTAATGGTGCCCAGCCCTTTTGTGGCTTGTGGGCTTTCCTGTAACCTCCTCAGTGGGCTGAACCAAATCTGCCAAGTGTACCTTCATCTTGTGGCCACTGCACCACTGAGTAGTGAGAGCCAGCTCACCTACCATCTTCCTCTCCTATCGCTCACAGGCAAGTAGGGCCTGTTCCTGGGCCTAGAGAACAGTTAAGTAGGAAGCTTGTCACATGTTATGTTGACAGTTCCCAAGCCAACTAAAGATTCCAAAATGAAACTGTGGTCTGCTGATAAAACTTCCTACAACCTCTAGAGCCAAGAGCTTTCATTCTCCTTGTCAGGGAAAAGGTTCTTTCACCATATGAAATGTGCCCATTAGGAGGAGTTCACCCCGAATCAAGCAGATGGTAGCTTTCTGGACTAAATGTCCACTTCAATAGAACAATAGTCTCAGTGGCATTTGCCATCTCTACTCTCTGGAAGTATCAATATTTGGAGAGAACTAGTATTCCTAAGATAACGTAATTGTATACCTCTTCTGTCACGAGTGAGATTTGCTTTTATTTTCAGCTGACAGGTACATAAATATTTGGTATATATGTAAGAGACATGTGCCTTTAATCACAAGATCCTGCTCCGAATTCACACAGCTTCAAAAATGACCCTTCTTTCTAAAGCTCTAACAATCCAGGTTCTTTCTTGTCCAGTGGGATCCTGAAC